CGCAGGCTTTGAAGCAAGAGTTCGCTGCGTACCTTGATGACCGGTATCCTCCAGACCCGCAGCAACTCGGCGGTTCATGTGGTGGTATGAGGCTTGCAAGCTTGTGTTCCGAAGAGTAAGATTTGAAGCACGAGGCTGACATACGCCGCAGACCTGAACAATCCCGGAGGTGTATTGCTGCGGCCATGGATGTTGGGGTTCCGAACCGACTTCGGATTGCCGGGACTGATGGAGCCGGAAGACACAGAGCGCCTCCTGGAGTTGATTGCCACGGAGACGTCTCTCGGATGCTGAAGACTGAGCCCGAAAGCTTACCAGTTCACCCCGCCAACCTTAAACTTAAGCCCTCAATCGTGGTGGCAATCTCATGAAAGCAACCCTCGTTTTCTGTTGCCTCCTCTGCCCATTGCATGCTCAGCTTCCGCACGGACAGCGACATCCCGGGCGTGGAGAAGCTTGCTGTTGTGGCCCCTGGCAAGGCGTTCTTGGACTTTGCGTGGAAGCCCATGGATGCAATCTCTGATGCACACAGCGCGGACCTTGTTCATTTTCCCACAGACTCTTGCACTTATTATGAGATTCGCTTCAGTACATTTTGTCATGTTTTCATGAGGTTCTATGATGCGGCCATTTGGCGTCGCTTACGTGAAGGGATACCGCAGAAGCCTGACGATGCTCATCGTGGTCCAGGGAATCCGAGAACTGGGCATCGAGGACATTGAGCTTCCCTACGGCTTCCAGGACATGTGGGACATAAGAATAATGTTGCAGCATGCCATGCAGAAGTGTCGTGGAATGCAGACCTTACACCGCGTGCTGAGTCCAGGGAGATCTCAATAATGTGGGACGACTTGTGAAAGTAAATCCCTCAAGCTTTATTTGTACGTGTTTTTTCCTGTTGCAGAAAAGCATCGCCACGATCTATGGCACGGTGGGCCGGTTCTCCTCCGTGAAGGACCAGGTGCTGGCATCCCGAGGTCGGACACAAGCACGTCTTGTACATTGTAGCAGTCTTGCCCGTGCCTGATAGGGCGCCAGCATGAGTCATGATATTTCCCACGAGGAATCACCATGGCCTCCGTCGCGACGAGGAAGGCTGCAAATTGTTTCCAGCTGATGAGACAGACGAAGGTCTTGGAGCGGGCCAACTCCGCAGACGCTGCCTCCGTGGAGCCATTTCCTACTTCATGCGTGCTGCTTCTGCCGTTCCTCTCGATCTGTGCTTGTGCAGTCTTGCTGAGGATTGGGAGAGTGCAAGTGCAGTCGCCAGAGCGTTCAGCATTGGCAAGAATGAAGCTGGCGCCGTGGCGAGCTTGAAGTTGTATGTCTCCGACCCGATCGTCGCGAACCTCACTGAAGCAGTTCGTCTGCGAGGGATGCGGCAATTCATCAGTCACGAGCCCATAGCTCGTGGGGTCTTCAATCGAGGGTTCTCCTCCGGGCGGGACAAGTTCGAGTCGTGGAACGTCCAGCTCACCAATGGGGACGACGATGCGCTGGTTTCCTGGCTTCTACTTTGTTCCTGTGTCTTGCTGTCACTTCCTTTTCTGCAGTCTGCGGTACCAGCACATAGCTTAGGTCAGTTTGTTCCTGGAACGAATCACGGCCGACTTCGATAGATCCCCAGCCTCCTTTAGAAAGGCCCTCGGCTTCAAGGATGCATCGTTGCTGCACGCGCTGGCGGGCGGCTTTCTTCATTTCAGAGGGCTGATGGAGACGGCGGTGCCGAGCGCGGACTTCCAAGGTATGGCCCAGCGAATGAAGGAGCAGTTTTTGGCAGGAGGCCTCGACCCAGAAATAGAGCACTCCTTGATTGCGACTGTCCCTCCTGGCGACCTCAAATCCATCTCGATGTGTAGGCCCGGTCAGACAAATTTCAGCCTCTGCCAATAATCTCTACATTCAGGGTTTAATTACAGAAAGCCTTGCATGGATATTGCAGATTCCTTGATATTGAAATCCGGAAATTTAAAGCAGATTGACCTCCACATAATACACTCCCTTATGAAGTCCATGCAACCCGTCAGTCAGGCAGCTTTTGGATGCGGTTCATCATCGGACATGGCTTGAGAACGAGAAGCACGAAGAAGAGCTTTCCAGAAAGGTTGCCGAGGCCACGCTCGCACAGGTGAGCAGCAAGCTGAAAGCTGATTTGGAGCAGCTCACAGCGCGCAGCCTGGACAAGACCCAGGAGGCGGTGCAGGCGGCCAAAGACATCAAGTACATCAAGGAGCGGCAAAGGCAGCTCAGAAGCAGTTGGCAGTACGATGAAGACGCATCATGTGGTTGACACGATTCTGGGTTTGGGGTTTGGGATGTAGCGTTTGGCCTTGGTTTCTGTTCTGGACAGGGCGGGAGAGCAATGGGTGGCCGAGTTCGCGCGGGAGAAGTTTGTGCTGAACGTGCTTCCCAACGAGAATGTCCTTGCTGTTTCCGGCAACATCGCCAAGTACTTGAACCAGCTGCAAGTATCCGGA